CATCTTGATACGTGCTGCATTACCGTCCCATATAGTCTCATCCACATACATATTGTCCATCCATCCGTACATCCCTACCTATCGCTCACATGCCAGATGGCAGATACTGATCGAGTTTCCACCACCGCACCGCACTGTACCGAGTACCTGAATCCTAGTTCTAGTATTCCATGCGTCGTACCAAAAATCGGGAATGACACCCGAAGCCAAGATCTTTGACCGATCAAAAATCGCAACACAGCACTCTCTCTATATAAATATAAGTAGAGCCAAGAAACAGTAGAGAACACAACACCGCAGCGAGTTCACATCCCGATTTTAGTACCACGATGAAAACCCGATCCCAGATAAAGCAAGCGAGCAAGATGAAGCAAGACAAGAGAGAAAGACAACTTGGGTACGCAAACAAAGGTAAGAGGTACGGAAGACGCATGGCTGTCTAATCATGTGATAAGATATGATATATGACATGCCGTAAACGGCTTTTTGTCTAGGAGTCCTTGCACGGGATCCTCGGGAACGGGGAATTGAGTCGAAGAGCTGAAATGGCTGCCCGACTTGACCCTGTTCACATTTCAGACACGAGAAAGAACGTTGCACGATAACGATAAGCGTGCAACAAACGGTGGAGTATTACCTTTGTATAGTGGAGCTCTCCCTTGCTCCCGCAAGCTAGAGAGACAAGCGCTAGAAAAGAAGCAAGCAAGCCCTGAACACCGCAAGACTAGAGTTTCTGAACGGCGCAAATGAATCTGCTTTCTATACCTTTATAGGTAGCTATAGCTAGCTAGACCCGGCTATTTAACAATTCTCCAACGCGAATTTATTTGGAACCGAGATTCATTACAGAAAAGGCACCAGGTACAAGTGCATCGAGCAGATACCAAGACACGAACTCGTGCGAAGAAAACAATAGCAACAATATAATCCTCCGTAGTGACCTCTTAGCCACCATGGCTGACCGGATAAGAATATACCGGCATAAAAGACACATTTGGCCTCCTCCAGAGAATCATACACACATAGATCATCAGATGCACTACGATTGGTAGATTAACCAGCCTGGCTGCACACTTTGCAGAAAGCGTGCGTGAAGGACAAGCGACGCAATCGATACTTCGATGCATATTCATCGCCTCTTGGAAAAGCGCCATCCACGTGACGGACGTCTGCGTTGTTCTTGCACATGTTATTCAGGCGGTCCCAAGCCAGGAAAGATGCGCAGTAAGCGATGGGAAAATGGGTGAAGAGGCATTCATTGAAGGCATGAATGCGTGGAGGCTGCAGTCAGACGAATCCTGGTCTCTTATTGCAGATTTGTGCGACGACTTGGATGGAATGCTGCCCGGTAAAATTCGTCACGGAAAGGTATGCGGGAGGGAACGGGAGCCCGATGGTTTTGGTGATGGGAGGAGGCGGGAGAGGTAATTTCGAATGCGGGTTCGATGATATTTGTATATTGTTTTCTTCCAACCAATCATCAGAATGAGGAATTCTACCCACCCAATCCAAGATCCCCCTTTCATCCCCACTCATCCCACCCAAGAAAAGCGATGCTCGCTCTCTCGCCTGGTGGCCCAAAGCTTCAAAAGGTCGGTTGTACGGGATTCGTGGATACCTACCTACCTACCCTCGAGCTAGCTACCTAGACGCAGGAGGAAAGAGGTTAAAATTGATCCATCACCCCTCAACTGTACTGTAAACTATATAATAACACAAGTGTTAGTAATCTTAAACAAATCCTTAGACCATCTTCTGTTATAGCACTATGTTAACTTCAAACTCGCTGGATTGAAATGCCACCATTGGATTTCTGAAGAGCTTCACTAGTGATCAATTCCGATCTGCTTTCCTCCTATGAACAACCGACACTCCTACATCGTAAGATTACATAGGTACGTACTCCATACATACACACACCAAACGCACGGTCATGTCCTCCCTCAATCTACGAATAGATCGTCCTGTGGCCTGGGCTATGCAAGCTATCTCTCTCTCTATATATGATGATGCTATACATACTTCGTACATATAGGCGACCTCGGATACGGAGATGATCAATGATGTTCCCTGCCACAGGACTCTGTTTCGGAAATCCAGAAGTCTGATTGGAATCAATGAAACGTGTGACGATGCTGACTATCGATATTTCTTCATCGATGTTACTATACTTTTGTAAATGTGGTTGTGGTGACGATGTCGACGACGATATCAAAGCATACCATAATCCCCTCTCCTCTCCTCCCCGGAGTCAAGGAAAGAAGTTAAACGTTGATCTTGATTTTTGTACCTAGAATGCATGCATGCATGAATGAATGAATGAATACATAACATCTCCCATCCAGATTTCCATCTTCCTATCCAATTGGAGATAAGAATGGATGACATTGTATTCTGTATATGTCCTGCACTTGGTATCATTAAGTATCCCAATATGATATATGATAGAAATTTCCAACGATCCAAAACGTATCGACTATTGGGTATATTAGTGAGATCATTCATTCATTACCGTCATGACTTTTCGATATCGGCATAGACATCTCAAAGCCAGCCACCGGGAAGGGAGTTAAGTACTACTATCCGAGATACATGCATGTACATGAGGTAGTATTTACATCCATCCATCTCGTCACCATGATATTTTGATATCGACTGATCAGTAGAGGATCAATAAACTCTCTAGCTATAGTAGCTATCTAATAGAAGTTAGTGACAGTTATACTACGGATAGTATCTTCCATCCACTACCCCGCTTCCTCCAAAGGGGGCAGTGCAAATCAATCAACCAATCAATAGATAGATAGATACCTAGCAAACGCACACCAAACCACAACCCGACTATCCTAAATAAGAAAGAGAAGATAATGATCCTTCAATGTCTATCGACCCATTCCGGTTCTCCTACAGCTACCATATACAACCTCGAGCTACCAACCTAGTACATACATACATTCCTCCATTCAATCTCCATCAACCCGCCTGCCCGCCTGCTTTCACGAAACGTGAAAAGTTGGTGCACGCTACGCTGCACCGCCGTTGAAAGTCAATTCGAAAATGTATGATGTCGTCACTGTAACTGTACTCTAGACGTACCGAGTTGAGATGTTGAACTTGGGGGTGCGGAGTAGAGTTTTATTGCTTGGATAGGTACTGATACATAGATACGTATACACATGCTTTCAATATCAAGATTCTGGGATTCTCTGGAGGGGGTTTAGGGTTTTTCTCATTGTATATATCAGATGTTTGAGAGGTAATGAATGCGATCATTCAGTAGAATATCTCAATCTTTATTAATTATACAAATTTCTATCACTAACTTATACATATATATAGTAAAATAATATAAGATCTTACATACTTTGAATAGCTAGTAGTAGATAGTAGGAATACTTCAATCCATCACTCATACCCATAGCTCTGTATCTAATACTCAAATGCAAAAGTACACACATACATATTCATGCCCTCAGCTTCCTCACCTGCTGTACTCGACACGGTTTCCACAACACGAATCCATCCATTCCCAAGCTCCCAATTTCAAAAACAGCCTACAGTATTTTCTTTTCTTCTCTCTGCCCTGAATGTCTCACAACAGTCGACCTATCCTATCTTATCCTATCCCACCACCTCAAAATCCATCGAATGGACACCTGCATATATTTTCTGCGCGCAGAGAGTTGCAAGTTACATACACGCAATCTGTGTTTTCAGGGCGTGAAGACGGGAGAGGTAATTGTATACCTATTTGGTGGTGAGATAAGTTGCGTTGAGCTGTAGCGGTGTGAACTCTGAGTCGTATGGATATATATATATATGTGTGTAAATTATGTATGTATATCCCAATACCTATAACTACAGCATCTGAAAGTTAGATATCTATCTACCTACCAGGAAGTGTTTCATCCCGAGCATTTTAATATCATTAGATATCAGGATTCGATGAATGATTTATTGATCAATATTTTAAAAAGTAAGCAAACAAACAAACAAACAAGTCCAATCTAAATCTAAATCTAAATCTATATCTATATCTCAATCCAACTCCAGATCTTTCGATATCTATCTACAGAGTATTTAGAGAAGATACAAATATTAATAAATAAATGAATGAATAAAGGAATAAATGATCACGACATCTTCACTATTGCCGATTTTGACTTTCCTCTCGCGTGGTCTGGTCCTGTGGAATGGGTTGGCTTTCCAATCAATCATTCAACCAATCAATCAATGATACGAAGCCCCTTCTCTTCTCTCCTCCCCTCTCCTCGGCTCCCCTCTCCTCTCACCCACCCATCCACCTACAGTACCTCGGACCATAGATCACGAGTCACGAGGACAATGTCAGAGAAACTAATACATTTTAGATGCAAGATGTGATGGATAACAGGGGCTATCAATATCATTGAATGAATGAATGCTTGAATGAAATCCAGTCACTGAAATGAAAGAGAAAAGAGAACAAATGAGGAGACGAGAAAAGGTGGAAAGGAAAGAAAGGGGATAGAAACGCTAGAGGATAAATGGATGGATGAATATGCGTGGTGTTAATAGATGTGGATGTGGATGTGTATATATGCGGATTGGATGTTTGATGATGGCTTCGAGATTCGCAATTGAGATGTTGGTTCCTGATTCTGAGTAACCCATGGTGGTCGGTCAGCTAGGTATGGCTAGTTGTGTTTCATCGTCATACTCTTTTTATTCACTTCTCCAATTGCAATTCCTCTCCTTCAGTGCTCCGGTTGGCATCATGTACATGTGTCTACGAGGTACACAGTTCGTTCATTCATGAATAGACAAAGTACCTGAGATCAAGCAGCACACTGTACGTACAGTACATACAATAGTACAATAATACATACCGCCACGATCCAATCCATCCAGCCCCTCTGGCTCATCTCGTCCATCTCGTCCATCTCGTATCCGCCCACCATCCCATTCGACCCTGTGATTCAACACCCTGTCTCCCCATTCCCACCATTCCCACCATCCCATCATTTTCCTGGACCCGTGACCGATAAACCTAAAAAAAATTCGGGTCCTGACTCCCACCACGGACGGGCGTTGCAAAACTGGCCTCGAGGCTCGAGCTTGCGTTGGTCGTCTGTTGGCTGACTTTCTCCTCTAACTGCTCTCGGTTCGGGATTGAGAATGCATGGAATTCCTAGAGGGTGTGTTCATGGTGGAAATATGGTGCAGACGGGGGGTAACGAATACCCTGGATTTTAGTCAGGACCATATTGGCGGTATCTATTCTCATTGGGTCTCGGGAGGGTGTTCTGGTTGTGGAGGGGGGCTTGGAACTTATTGATAACATGAGCGACACGAGGAGTTGACAAAACGTCGGGTATGGGTGTATCAGTCTGTGTGTTTGTAACGTTATGAAGTGTACAGTATGTATATAGGTTGGTGTAATAATGATGTTGTTGGTGGCTGGTGGTTACCTTGAAGCTTAGTATACTTCATTAAGCAATGTTCAAAGTTACCACCTAGTCGTCAATGTAATTATGGAAATGTATGCTGGCTTGATGATTACACTGAAGGAAGAGCGAGAAGCCACCAAGCCATTTCCTACCCTGATTAACAAATACATGATTGTGAGTACACCAAACACTATATGATGAGACACTCTACCAACCGATTTCATGCCTCGAAAGGTCCAAAAGTCCAAAAGGCTTCTTTGATATCTTGGCTAAGCCAAAGACCGGGTTGACAGTACTGGGTGACTTGACTGAGATAAATCTAATCCATTCATGATTCGTGGTAACTCACATTCGTCCTACCTGACAATCTCTTTGATTACATGCAAATTAATTTCTTGTATTTCCCGTAACTACCTATAAGGTACCGAATATCGAGTATCAGTATCGAGTATACCATATCCTGTCAACTGGTACAACATTCCCTCAAATGAAGAGTTTTGAAGCCAATCCTGACCGGAATCTTTGTAACTTGGTCTGTGCATTGTGTTGTGTACCAAAGAATGACCATGAGCATCCCAAAACATTCAACCCGACTGGTGAAGGAGACTTTGAGTGGTAAAACAAAAGTAACCATTCTTCAAGGAATTACATCGCATCAGATATAGTAGGCGAAGACGAGATAAAACAATTTGATCCTGTCCTTCACCTCACCAATTTGAGCCTTCTATTCATCAAGGGATGTCCTTGACTCAACAGATTGATTCCCGGGAAAGAGGGGCTCACGAGGCAAATGGATGCTGCCATGGAGTCTCACAGAAATGATTGACGGACTCGAAGAGGATGCAAAGTACCCGTCATTTTGCGCCAAGAACCGGGTACCCATATTGACTACAACATCCAGATGAGGTAGTGGATGATCTGTACGGGTGTAACTCTTACCGTTCATATATCAATACGGCAGGTCGCCGGCCGCGGAGAGACACAGGATACTCTGAGGAAAGATTATTCCAATGGATTGGGAACATGGGAATCGACATTCCCATCTAGTATCGTGGACATCGACTCCTTTGGGCTAGTCGAATCCAATCGAATCATCATGGGGATTGATGATGATCTGATATGGCTCGACACACGTAGCATCTAGACTCTGTTCATGAACCTCCTTTGGGATTTCTAGACCACGAGCATAACCAAATTCTATTCCCTCACTCTCACACGTCCTCACACGGAAGACGGGGAAGACGAAGCGCGCGACAGAATGATTCTCATCTCCTGCTACATCAGCATGCTGTACCTCATCTCTCTACCCACCGGATGGGACTCGCTGTCCTTTTTCTTTATATATGTGCACCCATTCACTCCATGCAGCATTGCCCCAAAAGCGTAATTAGCTTCAGCTCCATTTGCGCGTTGCACCACTCACCAATCGCAAAGCTAGACGTCTAGTCGATCGTTCGACGTACATACCATATTACATATCGACTTGCGAGACGCTTATGCAATGAGGACTGTTTTAGGACATGTCACGGGTCACAGGTCGTTTTTTGATGTTATTTATGATGATTTTGATGGATGGATAGGGATTTTGATCTATGGAAATGGGAAAATTGAAATGCAAGTTCCGGCATGAATACATTATCTTTCATATTATTACTATACTCTAAACATCGTCCCTACCTATTAGAATTGAAAGTCAATGAATGGGATTCGATCTTTAATTTTTTATTAATAATAATTCTCTTAACTTACTCTTTCCCTTTCTCACTAAAAGATGCTCAGACATTAATATGGCGCGTGCTGGATCATCAGAATTGATCCCATGATCGTTTTTTAAATCACTCCATTATTGAAACTTTGTCCTCTCTGGAAGGCTTTGTGGAACCTTAATCACAGACCTAAAACCCAAAATTGAACTGGCATGTGCTTGTTTGTATGTAACTCTATAAAATCAAAAGGCATTTATTCCCTTATTCACCAAGACGTGATTAAGGAAAGAGATACTAGACACTCGAGGATATTCATGTTGTACTCGGCCAGAGATTGACTAACAGAGAGGGAGATGGAGAAATAGAGGTGCTCCATAACCATCGTACTGACACTACGTACCGGGTTCGAGGAATATAAAATGATTGTCCCACCCTATCTTGCCTGACCACAATGAGATCTAGCAAAAAAAGACGTTCCCTCATGATCCTCTCTCACACGCTTGGTAGGTCGAGCATAGCTCTAAAACTCGAGGTATGATTCAAGGTGGCAATGAGGTGACCAATTACATCGACTCCCCATTCCCAAGTGATGATAGCTAACAGAGTACGTAACTCCGTGGAGGGAAATCTCTACACTCGCTACAGTAGCTTGAGAGCGAGCAGGTACCGTTCCTGAAAGAAAGATTTTCCGGGTATCGTTTATGGTTTACCAAGACGGTGATGATGGCAAAAAGATTTCCAAGTATAAAGGTCGTAAAGCTTGGATATGACATCAATGGGTTGCTATCTCCGAGTAATAATCATCGGAGCCTTGAATGGACCAGTAGATACTCAGCCACCGAAATAGGAAAAAAGGAAGCTCTTTTTCTTTGTTCCAGGTGTTCCTCGATGATTGATGTATGTATGTAAGATAGATACCCAGGTGCTGGATTGGAATTCAGAGAGGCACAAAGTGTAATTATGGACATATCGTCCGCCGTAGACTCGTTAATGTGCTTGTTGCTCGTACCTAGCTTGTATATGTCTTTTGTGCAGAAATACCACGAGATGGAATGAATATCCCCTATCATTTACTCTGTAGATTTGGTACAGAGTTTGGATAGGTGCAACGCATATTCCACCACGGCACAGAGTATCAAAGTCCACAATGTCATAGATTTGTAAATCAAGGTCATGTTAGAGATTTTGACAGAAAATAGATTAACCCCTAGCCAACGCTACTTGATGCCGAGAACTTCGAACCCCTCATTCGTGTCCCGCATTGAGCTTCACATTTATCATAACTCACAGAATCTTCTGTATTCAACCAACCTACCGGTTTCTTGTAGAGATTTGGAGGGGATTCATGAAGATGTACATCTATCAACGTCTACGAAATAGATTTAGATATCTTTATTTACCTCAAACCTATAAGTTGCCTCGTCGTTTCTTTACCCAGCTTTTTCCCTTCACCATCCGCCTCCTCCTTGAATCCTTGTCCCTCCCATCCTTCTCTCCAGTACTCCACGAGTCCTATAAAAATAATTTGTCCCTCCTCCCATGTCCTTGGCCCCCTGTATACATTTTGCTGCAATGCAGGACAGAAAAAAAGACAGCAAAATAAATTCAAACGTCAAGTTCCAGCACGCTAATCTAAGACCAAATCATTAAGCGATTGTCATCTTACCTACGTCTATCCGCTTTTTATTTTGGTGGTGAACCCCTCATATCCATCGTTCTTGCCAACCCTTTGCATGGACTAAGGCAAAGCATCCACTATCCACTGTTGATCTCTGAAAGCCAGAAGATCATTCGCCAACACTCCTCTTACTCCATAATCCAAAGTTTAACACCTGCACCATCGAAATTTATTCACTAGACGACTACATTCGTCAAATGAACACTGAGCTTTGTATTCTAGGTACTCTGTACAGCTTTCGCCCACAACACTCGGTTCGTAGCTACCGGAGGATAGAGCGAAACGCAAGTAGAAAGAGATGAAAATTAAAGGGATTTTGACCAAAAGTAAAAAGAAGGGACTTTTGATCCCCTCTCGTATCCTCCACCTTGTATATATTGACTCCATACGACTGCTGTCGACAAGAAGGGTGGTTTTGTCATTCAAGCTGCTCGGTACTCAATCCAATATCGACCTCGAAACCCCCTGTACTCACTCTAATAAACCTCTCACTGCATTTACATCACATTTTTAAACTCCCATCTCGATCTTTCTACCTTCTGACCTCCTACCAACAAAACAAGACATCTAATCCTACCTCTACCCAGCCTTTTCTGATCCTCGTTGGGACCCCTTCATTAGACTGTGAGGATTGATATCACGAAGTAGTCTCTTGAAAACTATCCTGGCGTCTACTCTCCTTCCATCGCCTGACTGACAATAATAAAATACCTACCTCGAATATTTTGTTGTGTCATGATCATTTATTACTTGGATGAGATATTAGAACAACTAATTACATACAGCCCTCTAACCTCTTCTACTCGTGCCTTTCTTCCTGCCCAAAATACAACGTGCGTGCCAGCCTTATCTCATCCGTCACTCCCCTTGGGAATTCCCACAGATTAGATTAGATCCAACACTTTTTTTTTCTATATCAGCGAGATTATATCTTTCGAATCAATCCCAAACGTCAATTCAACATTTTCCATCTTGAATTGTGTTACAGTACCAAAGAAAGATCCTGTCCACCCCCCTCATCACAAACCATTGGTACCTTTTTTGACTGCGGTACGGTACAATCATTGGTGAACTAAGAGGCGCACGAAGAAGTAGCTAGGAACAAGACGACTGAGAACGAATTAAACACTACGCTTGAAGGATCATGAGCAACAAGTGACCATTACAAAAAGCACAAACGGGTCAAACCTGTTGGAACGAATCACGAAGTCAGGAAATGCTACCCTAGTCGACCATTAGTCCCAACTACTCCCATCCCCCCCAAAACCGAGCGCGTGAGCAACACAGCCAGTATTTCCAGAGCCAAGGAATAAATAAGTTTGGAAGCAAATTCAGACAGAACAGGAACGAGAAGAGGAAGACGAGGAAGCAGAAGAGCAGAGGAGTTGAATTTACAACTACTCAACTATAACCTTACTACACATACAGGAGACGCAGTACGGAACCACGATCTACGAACCACTCCATTCAATCTTATTTTATAAGTTTTTATTTATTTATACCTATACCTAAAGTATAGGTAGTCGTCATTCGACCTTGTTATACATTGCAATAAACTTCACTCTTTTACCCTTTTACCCTTTTAGGTGATTTGTAGTGTCTTTTGGAACAAATCAAGAAATTGACCGGGCAAATTCACCCACCCAACGACCACCACTACCACTACCATCACCACCACCACGACCTCTTCTTTTCTCTGCTTCTTTACACTGCCTCTACAGTCCTTGACCATCCATACACATACAAAATCACTATACACCACGCATCACGCACCTGCACTACCTTATTTACCTTACCTTAGTCTACCTTGCCTTAAGTTACCTTGGTTTAGCTCAACCTTCCTCTTAGTCCCTCCATTCTCATCTCTCTCCTAAATTCCTCCCTCGCTCTCCGGATATCATACATACAACCATACAACCATACAACCATACAGCCATACGACCCATCGACCACTCGACCACTCGACCATACGAGCATACGACCAATACACACCACCACCACCACCATAACCACCACCATCACCCACCATTCACCACACATCCCATTCATCCATCAGCAAATCAATACATAGTACCCGACAGTACACCTTACATACTATCCACTCAACGAACCACTCAATTTTACCCTGATCACCTTACCTGTTCCCGTATTGGAGAAAAGAAAAACAAAACAAAACATCACCCAAAAAATAACAAAAACAATCCACCGCCGCAACGACCATCATCGAAATAGATTCTATTCATTCATTTGAATAAGACTCGAATTCGAACGCCCCGGTCCTTTCTGTACGAAATCAATACAATACAATACCATCCATACATACATACCTACATTCAAATTCAAATTCAAATTCAAATTCAAATTCCATACACATTACCTCAGGGTGAATTTAAAATACGGTACGCCTTGACCAACTCTTCTTTTTGCCTTGCCTTGTTCATTCATTACTTCCGTACACATAATACATATTGGCACACTTGGACATTACATTCATTACATACACACCTCGTCTTTCTCTCTTTCTCCCTCTCTTCTCCAACTCTCTCTCTACCTCTGCCTCTCCCTCTCCCTCCACCACACACACCACATCACATCACATCACATCTCATCTCATAATATAACATAACATCCATACATCCCCCATCCCACCGCCCTCCACCCAACCCCTCCCAACCATTAAAGGGCCACAACCACTAACTCCCCAATTTCTCATCAATCAGCCGCAGTCTCACTTTGGCCATCAATCTCATTTTTTTTTTCCAACTTCTCGATTTCCAAAATAAATTGGGTGAATAATTCTTCGACTGGTCAGCCTGTCACGTTATTGAAGATCATTCACTTGGTAATTACCGATTGATTGATTACTTTTGGTCGCACACTCGGTGTTCAATTGCCCAACACGGACTACAACAGGTCATCAACCAGTCTCCTCACAACCCTCCTCGTTTACAGCCCACCTCACGAACGATAATAATCGGTGTTTTGGACTTCAATATGTCGTCAAATCGGCCTGCTGCCTTCTCGAGCTTAAGAATGGGAGGTAAGAAACATACTCCTACATATGGTCTTTCCCCTTACCTTGCTACCACCTCTTTTTTTTTTCTTTGGGGCGGAAGATGGATTCTAATGGTTTTTTTCAATCCTACAGAAGTAATCCGCGAAAAGGTTCAAGATGGCGTTACGGGCGAAACCCGAGATATGCAATATACACAATGCAAGATTGTTGGAAACGGTTCCTTCGGTGTGGTCTTTCAAACCAAGTTGTCACCTTCAGGAGAAGATGCTGCCATCAAACGCGTTTTGCAAGACAAGAGATTCAAGGTTTGCGACGTCTTTTCGAGTCTACAAAGAACTGGTTACTGATACAAGTACTAGAATCGTGAATTGCAAATCATGCGCATTGTTCGTCACCCCAACATCGTCGAATTAAAGGCATTCTATTATTCCAACGGCGAGCGAGTAAGTTTATTCCACCCTGCACAAACATAATGAGCATTTCTGATGAGCATTTGGTAGAAGGATGAAGTATATCTTAATCTAGTGCAAGAATTCGTTCCTGAGACTGTTTACCGCGCATCAAGATATTTCAACAAGATGAAGACAACAATGCCGATCATCGAAGTCAAGCTTTACATCTATCAACTCTTCCGCGCCCTCGCCTACATCCACTCACAAGGAATCTGCCATCGTGATATCAAGCCACAAAATTTGCTCTTAGACCCCGGCAGTGGAATTTTGAAGCTGTGTGATTTTGGTAGTGCAAAGATACTCGTAGAGAATGAGCCAAACGTTTCATACATTTGCTCACGCTACTACAGAGCACCCGAGTTAATTTTCGGTGCTACTAACTACACAACCAAGATTGGTAAGAATACACGAATGATGAAGACGGTGTAAACAATACTGACTGCCTTGATAGATGTTTGGTCAACTGGCTGTGTGATGGCAGAATTAATGCTTGGTCAACCACTCTTCCCAGGCGAATCTGGTATTGATCAACTTGTCGAAATTATCAAGGTCCTAGGTACACCCACTCGGGATCAAATCCGTACCATGAACCCCAACTATATGGAGCATAAGTTCCCTCAGATCAAGCCACACCCATTCAACAAGGTCTTCCGCAAAGCTGATGCTAGTGCCATCGAACTCATCTCCAAGTTGTTAGAGTACACTCCCACCGAGAGACTTTCAGCCATTGAAGCTATGGTCCACCCATTCTTTGATGAGTTGCGTGAACCAGACAAGACATTCCCGGATTCTCGCCACCCCGGAAACTCAGCAAAGAATCTCCCAACTTTGTTCGATTTCTCTCTTCATGGTATGTTATGAACTTTATGTCACATCAGCGGTACAATACTAATACGTCAATAGAATTATCCATTGCACCGGAACACAACCAACGGCTGGTACCGCAATATACTCGCGCAGGTTTGGTAGCAAGAGATAGCAAACTTGATATTGATAGCCCAGATTTCAAACCATTGACGAGAGATGCGATGATGGCAAGATTAGATTGAGGGAGGAGTTAAAGCAAAATGACTGATGAATGAATGCTTTCCTGTCGCTCGGCCTTAGAGCTCTGCAATGGAGTCGAGATTTTTCGAGCGATAACACCCGGCGATAAAAAACCCCCAGCATATTAAAGGTTCTGCATATCTCGTCTGCAACGTTGGCAGGCCAAAATCAAGTTTGTGGAAGTCCGGGAGATGCATGGCAGGAATACGAAGTTAGTCTATGATGATGGTATGCGTTATTTGGTTTGATAGGAATACCCATAAGGTGGAATTTTCGTTGAGCACGAGTTTTCAGTTCCAGCTAAGGATTACTCCCTTGGTACTCGAAACAGCGGTGATTGGGAAAAGGGATATGAAATATGATGGATATTGATTCATGAGGGGGGTTGTGGAATGGGGGTGGGTGGTAGTTTATGGGATTCAACGAATACTTCTATCGGCACCTCGTTACTAGACTTTCTTGCATGAGGAGAAAAAATTATGGCCTTTTTGCTCTCTTCTTCCGTTTTTTGTTCCACATTGTGTTGTGTACCTCGTGTGATGAGGATTGATGGGTTGGCTGGACCTTCTACTTTTGCATCTTCTGACTCCTTTTCCTTTTCATCCTTTTTTTTTTTTCTCTTCTTTTTCGGCACCCCTTCAATCGCTACTTGATATTTTGATACTCCAAGACAGGCATGCAAGCAAGATTCAGGCGTACCTTTTTCTTTTCACATTTTACATTTTAGTTGTGGTTGTGATGGTGGACGAATATTGATATGGCATGAATGGAATGGACTAATTGATACGAGAGAAATTAAAGGAAAATAAATAGGATAGGGGTTACTAGGCTTACTATTAAAAAAAGGGAAAATTCAAAGGGGTTGGGCTACAACTATTTCTCTATTTTACTGTTGATTCTTTCTTCTCGCTTGTCTTTTTCAGAGCTTGATGGATTTATTGAAAGGGTGGAGATGGAGATGGAGCGAGGAAAGGGAGATGGATCGATAGGAATCGGTGGATTTGAGGGCATACTTTTCTTCTGTTATATGATCGATGAATGAATGGGTGGTTGGGATTGGTGAGGGGAGAGTTTGCTTATTGTTGTCGTTGTTGTTGCAGTTGTTGTATTGAAAATGGTCAAATCAGAAAATCACAAAATATGAATTAATTGAAGTGTATAGTGAGATGAAGTGTTTTTTCTGGCTTTGGTCGGTATGTGATGTGATGTGATGTGAGGAGTGGACTGGACTGTTGATGAGTTGGAGATTATGTGTGGGTGTACTATCACCATGTAGCTAGATGTGTGTCTTGGGGTAAATACTGAAGGTTCTGGGAAGGAAGTATCTTTTTCGACCGCCATCTTATTTCAATTTGAATGAAAACAGATTGTGACGATGCACAGGTGTCTGAGTCTCTCGATCTTAAACCATATCGGCGTTTCCAGCAACCTCTGATACAACGAACTACTGGGTACCATAAATGGCACATCCCCAAGCGTCTCGCTGTGGCATGTGTGCTAAGGCAACAAGGCACCACGGCGCGCAGCCCAGCACGTCCCTGACATGGACCGAGCTTCTTTTTTAGCATCACAGCTTGAATCTTGAAGAGAGATTGAATGGATAAATCAATAAATCAATCAATCTTCAAGGGTTCTCGAAGATTGGTATTGGAATTGATCACGACGCCGCACACGAATTGGTCAATTCGATTGAGAGGCTCGAAACGGGACGTCTTCTTTTGAAAAGATTGGTTTGTTTGTTGATTGGTTTTGATTGATACGATACGATTCGATACGATACGAGACGATAGTTGGGGAATTTTTGAAGGCGGTACGCTGTTTGATCGATTGATTGAGAAGGCGGAGAGGAAGAAGAAGAAGAAGAAGAAGAAGAAGAAGAAGAAGAAGAAGAAGAGTTGATCGCGAATACGAACTACAAAGCGCATTGAGAATTGGCTTCGGGCGCGACTGAGAAGTGAGAGGAATTTAGTAGAGGGAAATACGAAAAGATGGCGGATTATGAGAGAGGTGTCGAGCGGGGAGGAGAGAATAGAGGAGGATATCAGGGTGAGGGGGGAAATAGAGGAGGGGAGCGTGGGTATAGTTATGGTGAGAGAGAGGAGAGGGGTGGAAGGGGTGGTGGGTATAGAGGGAGATATAATGGGGGTGGTGGGAGAGGTGGTGGTGGGAGGAAGAGGTATAGAGGTTAGTTGGTGTGTTTTGTTTTGTGTTGTTTTGTTTTGTTCTTTGAGTGGGGAGAGATGAGATGGATGGGGTTCAGGGATAGTAGTGAAAGCGATCGATGGAAGGAAGATTAAAAATGGAGAAGATAGCGATTTGGAGCATGAGCTTCAGCTTCGAAAGCTTTGGCGACAGCTTCGATTCTCGAGGGTTTGAATTACCACAGCACAAGAAATAAAGCTAACAGTATTACTTTCAAACCACAGATGAAGATGATCACGATCGACGACCTCAAAGACGTCGCTATGAAGAACCACTCATCGTCAAAGTTCGCAAACAACTTCTTTCCATCGCGGAATCACCTCTCAAGCGCGTCGAGACGGAAGTGGCCGAAATAGCCAAGACTGTATGCGACAACTACGATGATATCGAATTGCGCGATTCATTCTATGATTTGTCCCTGCAATTGATCGTAGAGCAACCTTTCAAGATTCCTTTCGTCGCTGCAGTGGTTATGGTATTGAATACTTTGAAGGAGGAAATGGTTATGGAGTTGTTGGAACGAGCTATAAAGGGACTGAATAAATCAATCATCAGGGGCGACTGGAGACAGGTTAAGTTGTATATGAAGTTCTTGGGAAGCTTGCAGGGTTTATTGGAGGGCGATGGCGTTTTCACCATCCTGCAGGATTTCTTGACCAAGGCCCTGGATTTGCAGACGGAAAACAATGAAGAGGTGAGAGATTTGCTTGATGAGATTGTCTTCCACGATTGTTTGGCTAACATAGAGATTTCTAGACTATCGGACCTGAATTGGTCAAGATTATCCTTCTTACTATTCCATATATCATGGCATCTTCAGCGACAGATGCTCATGAGAAAGCTGCAGCTATGATTGAGAATACTGATATCATTGCTTCTGAACCACACGTTTTACAAGCTTTGGTTGATCCATATCCAGGAGATGCTAAAGATGATACCATTGCGCCAGTTGGTGTTTTGAGTCTTTTGCAAAAGCAACTACAAGCTGAATCGCAAAATGGATGGGAACTTTTCTGTTTACCAAGACCATGGAAGATGATTGAGCCAGAACAACAAGAAGCTTTGGCTTCTGCTTCAAGACATACTTTGCCAACAATTGCTCTTCCTGAGGTTGTTGATGCTGGACCAAGACCTTTGTTTCCTGAGCTTTACTTTTCGGTTTATGCTAATCAGGATGTGGAGACTGTGCCACCTATCACGGATATTTCATCATGTCTGTTGAGAGATGCTTTGGTTGACACGATCAATATCTTGGATTACAACAGAAATGCCACTGCCAAATTCTTGATTGATATCGATTGTTATTTTGCTCCCGACACTTTTGTCAAGAGAGCCACACCATTCGACAGACTTCGAGATGTCGAGGGAGATAGATCAACATGGAAACCGGAGGATGTTGCAGTTGATGCAGTCTTTTCTCAGTTATTCCAACTTCCAGTTCCGGAACACAAACTTGTCTATTATCATGCTGTTCTGACGGAATCTTGCAAGATTGCACCAGCTGCTATTGCGCCGTCTCTTGGTCGTGCAATCCGTTTCTTGTATAGAAATGTGGATTCCATGGATCTTGAATTGACCAGTAGATTTATGGATTGGTTTTCGCATCATTTGAGTAACTTTGGTTTCACTTGGAAGTGGACTGAATGGATTGATGATGTGGAACTTTCTGATTTGGACCCAAAGAAAGCTTTCATTATTGGCTCTTTGGACAAGGAAATTCGATTGAGTTTTGCCCAGAGAATCAAGGGCACTCTACCACCTCCATATCAACAGTTGATTACAGAGGACAAGGAAAAGGATACGCCTGATTTTAAGTTTGATGATCCAAGTAAGTAAAGACATTTCGAAAGATACGAGCACTTCTAACAATTCACAGGCACACCATTCAGTGCTGAAGGACAGGAAATTCTCGCACTTCTCCGCAAGAAGTCAACAGAAGAGGAAATTCAACCCGTAGTCGATCGGATTCACGCTCTAGCAGTTGAACAAGCACTTCCAGATCCCCTCGTCCCATCTACAGACGCATATGTAACATCAATCTGCTACATTGGATCTAAATCTCTCAGTCACGTCCTCTCTTGTATTGAACGCTGTAAAGATCGCCTTCTAGCCATTGGACCCGTCTCTCCAGTCGCTAGACGCCAAATCATCACTTCGGTTATGCAATATTGGAAGGATCAACCGGGTATCGGTGTTAATATCATTGACAAACTTCTGAACTATACCATTCTCAGCCCGCAAAGTGTGGTGCAGTGGGCTATTGGTAGCGAAGGCAAAAGACTCAGCCAGAGTTTCGTGTACGAGATGGTTGAAGCTACTGTTGGAAAGGTCACTGGGCGTATTCGTCAAGTTCAGCTCAGCCTTCGTGTTCCGGGATTATTAGAGGAACAGAAACAATTGATTGAAAAAACGGTCGAGATGGAAAGAATCAATATGAGAGAATTGGGAAGGGAGATGGATGAACTTTTGACGGCTTGGGCAAATGGATCGAAGGACCAGGAAATCGAAATGGATGGAAGGGAAGAAGATCGGGAGTTGGTCAGAGGATGGGGAGAGAGATGGTTGAGAGTTTTTAGGAGAAAATTCGCGGTCGAGGAGGCTTGGGGTGTAGAGGCTAGTAGGTGGGTGGCCCCTCCCGAACCGGAGGTCGAGGAGGCGCAGGAGGTGGCGGTTGGAGAAGTTACGGCGGTGCAGAATCCGGAGGAAATGAAAATTGATGGGGATGCGGAGGGGGCTGCTGAGGCGGCGGATTATGAGGGGATTAGTTAGAGGGGGTTGGTAGGGGGTTTGGATCGGGGATGAAGGGTGGGTGGGTATAAGGTTGTGAAATTGAATGGAATGGAAAGGAGGTCCAATAAAAAAAGTAAATGGAGATGAGTGCCATATCATATTGCAAAGACAAAGGAGTTTTTCCAATTTTATTTATTTTTTCTTCATACGTTTCAGTGTTCACTTTTTGGGAGAGGGGGGGGAGTGTACGATAGAGCAGAGCATAGCATAGCAGAGTACCGAAGAGAAACAAAAACAAAAATGAGGAAGTTTACATGACAAAATAGTAAGAAAGATAGGAGATGAAGGAGCCTCCTCAATCCATCTTTTCTCCCTCTCCCAATGAGAATGAGCGTCTCAGCATTCAAAGGTTGAGTTGAAGCATTGATAGGTAGACAGACACACATATTAACACTTGCTTATTATACCAGATTTCATAACTAGCATCCAAAACATAACTTTCTATACCTCATCAAAAACATCTAAATATTATATTTCTATTATTTATTCTATAATAACTTCATTAATCCAATATCGATTTTAATAAAAATAATATTTTACAATAAATAATGATTATATTTATTATATACTTAATTTTCAATTAATTTAGAATTATATTAATTGAAATAGAAATTTGAGAATGAAAATCTCAAAACTAAAGACTTTTTTTCAGAAAATAAATTATAAAAACCTTTAAATATTATATTATTTAAACACCATTATCATTTTATTTATATTATTTTAAATCAATTCAAATTTGAAAGATTGATTTAATGAAATAATAGTTTTTGTTTGATATAGAAATTTTTGATTTTGAAGCTATATTAATAAAGTTAGGATTTTACAATTAATTGATTTTAGCTAAAAGATTGTGAAACTATGAAATCACGTTTTGAAAGCTAGTTATGTAATCGGGTGTATGATAATATGATACTATTCTTCCTACACTTTACACTTAACACTTTACACTTTACACTTTACGCTTTACGTATATGTATCTTTTCATCTTTTGATCTTTTAAATAATCTTTGAATCTTTGAATCTTTGAATCTTTGAATCTTTGAATCTTTGATGCTCCGTGAACGAGCATGGACCGATCGGGAGCTGGAGCTGTAGAAAAGTGTTACTAACTATTTTGCTCGATGCCAATATCCATTCATCTATCCCATCCATCGGATGAATGAATGAATGAATGGATAAATGGATGAAAGATGTAATTGTAACATATGGTGATAACTCACCCCTTTGAAACGCGGTTGTGAACGCCAGCCCTGATATATCTATCCATTGCCCGCGCATGATTTTCATGGGTAGGTAACTTTTCTCTTCTCCCTCTTTGGTATTCATGACCGTATTTATCTTCATCTTTTGACTTTTTATCTTTCTCCCAATCTCAATCTTACATCCTATAATCTCCCGCTTCAATAATTTAAATCTCCCGATTTCTCCCAAATTTCCTCACCTCCTTCCATAACCTTGTCCCCCATGACCTTGTGGTCCCACAGGTGGCATCCCCATCGGCATTCCCTGCGCACCTCCAAATCCAGGAGGTGCTTGCATATTTAATAAACCAGGCGGAGGAACTATTCCTGGTTGTCCAGGAGCTGGCATGCCTCCCGGTGGAGCGAATCCTGGTGGAAATTGGATTCCTCGTGCAGGTCCAGTAGTAGGATGTCCATATGCTCCGCCTGGACCAGTGGGTGGAACATGCTGATTGTGGAAGTCCATTTGTGGGCCGCCGTAGCCGGCTTGCGAAGGGGGTGGTCTTTGAGGGAGACCCGATGGAGGAGGTGGGAGGTGTTGGGGTTGTCCTCCTGGACCACCGCGTGGACCACCGGGGGGAGGAACGGAATTGTACGCAGGACGTTGTGGTGGGAATCCGGGGGGTGCGGTAGGTATGGGAGATTCGTTCAACATTGCTGCTGGAGCTTGTGGAATTCCGTTCATGCCTAATAATAATCCTGGTGGCATGTTTTGTAGATCTGGGATCACGTTGTGTTTTTTTGCTTGAGCTGCTAAGGCTCTCTCGGCTGCATCTCCGTGTCTTTCCCCCTTGCCATCTTTCTTGTATGCGTATTGGACCGAGATATCTTTGTTCATTAAATATTGACCGTTCATATTTGCGATAGCATCGTCGGAGGCTTCGAAGTTGGCATAGGATACGAAACCGTAACCTTTAGAAAGAGAGGATTCGTCGCGAGCGATTTTGGGAGGAGAGATGAGAGATCCAAAGCGCGAGAAGGTATCGTATAGAGTCTTTTCGTCCACCATAGGGTCAAGATTACCAATGAAGAGTTCTGCGCCGACTTCAACAGTCTTTTGTTTATCGGCAGAGGCCTGAATTTCGCAGTTAGTAAACTCTTCTTGATTTTGGAAGGCTGCATAGAAATAAGGATAAAACAAACCTTGTTCACACGGATCGGCTTTCCAAATAACCGTACTTGATTCATAATGCGCGCCGCATATTCAGCATCCTCCTCTGATATAAATTCCACGAATCCATAGCCTTGATGATTTTGAGTGACGCGATCTTTGGGTAAATGTACATTGACAATGCGACCAGCTTGTAACATCAATTCCCAGACTAAACTATCAGTAACGCGCTCATCGATATTGCCAATATAGACGGTGGCTTCCTTGTCTTGTTCCCTAAGAGAGCGGCGTTGCGCCATGATTAGCTCTTAATACTTTCTGCGGGTTTGAACTTGGGAAGGCTAGTAATTGGAAAGTTGAAAACTAGGAGAAAGGAATTATTTACCAATGTCTTGCTCCTGACATATTGTTGTTATTTAGATTTGATAAAGTAAGATTTGGATGGAAAAATGCAGCTGTAGTAAATATACATGGAGCTTCATAGTGAAGCTCAAGATGCGACGGAAAAATGATGGTGGATTAGTCATCAGCCTTGCTGATTGTGAGAAACCTTGATCACTTTTTTATACAGGAAGTAACAGTACAGGAAGACAAGCTAGAACATTTGATTCACAACAATATGTATGTATATTTAATGGACTCTCTCTTCTTTTCTGCAAGATACTCATTGTCTACAGCTCCGAATTGAGAAATTATATCAAAATGCAACTTTCCGAAGAATCTAAGGTTCGCATGCAGATGCCCTTCCTATGATAGATGGATGGAATGGTTTTGTTGACTTTGGAATAGGAGCGCATTGGAAAGCTCATTGACTATTCCCGTGTTGCTATCCATTAGTGAGGATATTCTGGATCTTTTATCTTGGACTTATGCTAATGGTCTACAGTGGTTACCTTCCATTGATCCTCTACCTTGGTACGAACTGGCAAACGACATGAAGCACAAAGACATGCATGCTAATAATAATTGAATTAGGATACACTCGCAGTGAACCACGCCCATCCATCGTCAGGTTAGTTTCTCTGCAGATACTCAAGACCAAAGCATGTACTAATGTCCATCTACAGACTCCTCTCTCCCCTGGCATAAGTTCCTCACAAAGAGCAAATGTTTTACTAGTCGATATGGATATGGAGATTCACGGGAAGGAATTGCAAGGCAAAACTGGGCTATAGATGGGAATACTAGCATTAACCAGAGAACGATAAGACGGTCGCAGCATATGAGGCGTTCATGAAATAATGAAATGCTCAGGGAGCTTATGTTTATGGTAGATACACACCATACGAAGATAATTGTACAATAGCGCAAAAAGCGCAATCACCACTACGAAATCAAAACCATTTTCTGTCTCCCGTTCCAATTTGAATGCCTCATTCTTTGTCGTCTGAATAATGTGAAACTCTACCCAAGATACCATTTGCCCCCGCCTCGGCAAGCCCCAGAAAATTATGAAGCTTCATTTTCGTCATCGGTTGTAGATATATTGCCCCTCGCAACTTCATCATTTTCGCAATGACGAACATAAATCTTCCCTTATGACCGAAAATCATGCGCGCATCTCTCCCGCGCTGGTCGAGACAATTGCTGGCCTCTCGGCCGGTACAGCATCTACCCTAGCTGTTCATCCTCTTGATGTTATCAAAACGCGATTACAAAGTAACTTCATACCCCTCCTTCCTGCCCAACCCATTGCTAACACCACCAGTTCATCGCAGTACATCTCACACACCAGCAAGCGGTCTCACCATCCTCCGTAATCTAACCCAACAGCCTCAGCCTCTACAAAGCCTCTACCGCGGTCTAACGCCCAATCTCATCGGCAATGCCAGTAGCTGGGCCCTCTTCTTCTACTTCAAAAATATCTTCGAATCCTCGCTTCGTTCCTTCCACAACCAACCCTCACATTCCAATTATGCCTCTCTTACACCCATCGACTACTTTGTCGCGTCCGGCTCGGCAGGTATCATGATTACCATCACTACAAATCCAATCTGGGTGCTCAAGACCCGAATGCTGAGTTCGGACCGAACTAGTAAAGGAGCGTATCAAAGTATGTGGCATGGCGCTCGACATCTATGGCAACATGAGGGAGTACGAGGATTCTACAGAGGTGTGGGTATCAGTTTGTTGGGTAATAGTCATGGAGCCGTCCAATTTGCTGTCTATGAACCCCTGAAGAATTTCTGGCGTAATCATTGCTCACACCAGACCCTAAGAGGTGATAGAGAAAGTTCTCAGGTTAAACTGGGGAATACGGCGACGCTGTTACTTAGTAGCTCGGCGAAAATTATTGCGGGAACAGCAACGTATCCGTATCAGGTTGTGAGGAGCAGATTGCAGACGTATGATGCGGAGGAAAGGTTTGGGAAGGGGATTAGCGGGGTTGTGGGGAAGGTTTGGAGAGAGGAGGGATGGAGGGGATTTTATAGAGGGCTCGGTACGAATATTGTGAGGGTTTTACCGGCGACTTGGGTGACGTTCTTGGTATATGAGAATGCGAGATTTTATCTACCAAGGCAGTGGAATAGAGACGGAGAGGAGTAGGAAAGAGGTATAGATAAGGTAGGGAAATTTCGCGAGTTGTATTTGTATTGATTGTAAGCTATCATACGCGCTGATTTGGGCTTCCGATGAGATATAGACCATTGTACTATAGAAGCTTCAGGAGATTACATTGCCATCTACCGTTAAATAGAGGATTGGTTACCATGTCTCCGATCACTTCTTGTAACAAACTACTTCGCCACAGCCAGTCTTCCACCAGCATCCCTCTGCTTTCTCCCAAGCATCCCATTCCTCAATCATTTCCTTAATTTTCTCATTACTGTCCACAACTCCTAGCCTGACCGCGTTTTTGCCAACATCACCAGTCATCAATGAGTTCTTCCAGCTCGGTTGCATCAGATAACTGTGACTCTCCACTACACTCTCATTTGCAAACCCCGCTTCTCTAGCCCAGTTCCCTAAAAACTTCCCAGCATGTGGCTCTGATCCTTTCTCTCTGATCATCGCTTCCATAATCGCGACAGTCCTTTTGAGTCCAGAGGTTGAAGGATGAAACAAAGAATCCCCCATATCACCCTCTCTACAAGCGACAAATCCTCCTACCTTACAAACTCTCCTCATCTCCTTGATCGCTCGCACCGGATCTGGTAAATGAATGAGGAGCTGATGCGTATACACTACATCAAATGTCTCGTCCTCAAAAGGTAATTTCATCACATCACCAATTTGGAATGAACAATTGTCCAATCCCAGGTCTCTGGCTTTTGCATTAGCGACCTCGATGACTGATTCTCCGGCATCGAGACCGATAATTGAACCCTGAGGAATCAGTGAGGCAACATCGCTTGTGATTGAACCGGGGCCACAGCCGAGATCCAAGATGTGTGATGTGGGGGTTAGGTGAGGTAGGAAATAGGCGCAACAGGTCGAGGCGCGACGGAGGGAGTGTCGATCTACTACTGCAGGGCTGTAACCGAGGGAGTAAGTTTTGTCAGATGCCATGATTTATATGATAGGTTGTTTCGTTGATGGCTGGTCTGCATGAAGAGAAGCGCTATTTGCTATTTAAGAAGTTTCGCTACGGAGATAAGATGGAGGTAAGTAGTGATTACGTCACCGTGACTTACTTTTCTCGATATGTTGTGGTAAGTAGAGCAAGCCAAAGCTGCAAAGGGATGAAGCTACTAATAAGTAGGAATTGAGATGTATCAAGTATGGGGCTGAGCTCATACAGAGTAGCAGTTTCCTTGTACAAGGTGAATTCTGCCTTGGCAAGCGGACTACAGCCTCGTATGTGCTGTTCGGCTGATCAGGCGAAAATGCCTCAGAGACATTCAATGAGCGAAACGAGAGATCCGTTAACCTATAGATATACTAAGTATAAGTATATAAATACTTCTACATACCTTCACCGACAGTAAACTTGGAGTAAAGCTTTACAGACAAGTAGGCCTGGCAGGTAATTTGAATACACTTGATCCGGAGTGGTGCACTGAGATTGATCTGACCCAGTATGACTCTGGAGAAGATATTGTTTGAGCCGGATAATGGTTGATAACATGATATTCGCTTCGGTTGAAGCATTGAATATACCTTGTCCAGATTCAAGGGAATACTGATATACAATGCTCGAATTAACAATGAACACTTCGAACAATCGCCCAAACTAGAGAAGTTTGACATAATTAATGAAATAACCTTGAGGTATAGAAGTAACATAGAAATGAAGAAGGACATATGCGACTACGCATGGCGGTACCCCTTCTTAGTTATCTGCCTTCTCCAATGTTCGGCAGTGCGAGACGCGAGGGTTCCACATCGCATTGCTCATACCTTCAACACTGTATTTGTCAAGCCTTCATGACCAGTTTCTCAGAGCTCCTTGCCAGTGTCCATACCGCCTGCATGTACACCAGAAGGATAGTGGACGCAATTTGAAAAGGCTGTAGGCGATCGGATAGTAGTTGTATCACAGCCTCGAAAACGAAACTAGAGTCTCACAATCTATAAACCACTGCGTGTTTCCTTTTGGCGACATTAGATGGTATCTTCATATGCATTGTATGGGCACCAAGAAGGCGTACAAGCCAACGGTGTCATTACCATGGTCGATTGGCTGTCAGGACGGATAATCATTGGAAGATAACAGCCGGCACTCGTTTACCTTGCCACATTCACTAGCCACAATCAATGGAAATACCTAGTCCATCTGTGCACGTGTAATGGATTTTCGATACTACAATTCCACTTTATTGTGTTTCCAAGAAACTCCAACTCCATGCCGTCCCAATTATGCTATACAACTAAAGAAATCCCAGCACAAGCCTTCGCATATATTCACTTTTCCTCATCGGGACCATTCCTATCTCTTCAGTCTTGGCTTATTGTGCTGTCCTTGCCAATGCTTTCAGGAGAAGACGATAGCTTTCTAATAGTCTTTCGGGTTTCCCTGAACACTGTCATTAATCCTAGCAACAACTTTAGGATTAGCATGAGATAGGGCGATCCCGAGAGCATAAGTAAACTATCCTGAATATCCTTATGCTTTGCCTGCCTTGCCTCCTCTGCCAGTTGCTCTGCATCTTGCTCTTCGACCACGGTAGTATCCGATGGAAACCAGGACGATCCGTTCTCTGATTGTGACCCATCCTGCAGATCTAATACCGGCTCTGACATTACCACTGATGTGTTCTTCGGATGCCGTTCGGAGATTCCTGTTCCACTTTGAGGTGTGTTTGTTAAAATCAGAGATGCTCTCGAAAGATTTTCGAGAGATGGATATGTCGGGTCAAATGGATCTAAATTGGATACCCCCAGACCCATAGGTTTGCTATCGACAGTAATGCGTTCGGTGGAAGTTGCAACGAGCGTCGACTGCCGTGGTCCGGCAAATATCGCAGCTCCATCCCTTTCCTCCCCAGTTCTTTCTCTAGGCGTCCCTGCCGTGATCCCTCCCATGAAAATTGATGCAGGTAGTGCATCAGGTATTTCTGTTGGTACCACTTCTAAGTTTTCCATCTCCATCATCCTCGGAAGACTATTGGCGAGGATATCAAGACGAGTGCTATTGCGGTCCCCTCGCGGAAGATGGACAAACGTTGTGGAAGAACCCTTGCTTTTGTCTTGGTCCGAAGAAAATTTCAAATGTCTTAAGATATTGTCCTTCGTGCTTTTCAACTTCCCTTTTATGTTAACCTCCATTAAGAAAGGTCTGCCATCGTGTTCGAAGGCGAAGGCAGTATGGATCATATTGCTATGCGTTGTATGCTGTTCGAACTCGCTCTCTGTAAGCTCCCATTCCAATGTTCTATATATTGCTGTATGTCGACCTTTATGGGTGGGATGAGTTGCAGGTCTGAGCCTTCCATTGAATATCCATCTGCTACTTAGGATTACCTCTTTGGAGGTGTCTAGCCCTACTCCACCACCACCATTGCCAAGGATATTAATATTTGGAGTTAGAAGTAGATTCTTTTTGACTAGCATTCGTCGTTCTGGTCCGTATAGTTGTTTAGGACCATATTGATCGGTAATATGAAGGCGATCCGACACTGACTTCCGAATGGACCGCCTTTCCGTGTCCTCTCTCGGCTCGCTATCTTCTAAAGTGATCGAAACTGTTGCACTCGATAACCTGCAATCGTTTGGCTGATCAAATCCAAGGCTCATATAAATAACCCCTGCAGGATTTTCAGCTTCTCCCATAACTCCCCATTTCGACTTAGAGAGTCGAAATTGGCAAGTTACTCCAACCTTTCCGACTTTTTGATATTTCAGACATGCATTGGGAAGATGCTCGATCCTTTCCAAGGTGCGCCCAAACTTTCGTGCGATAATTGGAGTATTGCTTAAAGGATTCAAAGCCATTATGATGATTTTTAGATTGGGTGTAACATGTGGTTTTGGAGAGTTGACTCAGATGAAAGATGTAAAGAGGATAAGATTGGCTTTTTGCACTTGGTATGTAGGATCTTACTTTATTTTTATTCTTCGAATGGCTGATCGTGAAACGGCAAATGATAGAGGCTGTGCTCAAGCGATGTAACCTGAATGCATGTAACAGTCGAGCAGCCTTAATCTCAGCCAGCCTCCCACGATGAAATCAATATCTATAATTTCACAACATCTACTAACACAAATATTCTTCAATTTTTAAACGTCAAGCGGTGCTCTGAAACTTTCAAAATACTCTTCAAACAATTAGCTTTCTATGTCTCGCTTCGCAGGTCACTACCCACCCCCGCCAACTTCTGCATCATCACGTGGGGATTCGCTCTGGTCCCGCAATTCTCATACAGCTTCTTCCATCTCCACTGCTCCGATGAGGTTGTCAGCATCCACAGAGAAACGTAGTGTATCTTTCAAAGAGCCTTTCAAATATGAAAGAGATTATGAAGAGCTTGAAGACGACACCGAAGACTCTTTATCCGAACGCGAAAACGAACTCAGAAACCGATGGGACACAATAGCAGCTCGTTACTTTCGTGAAGTTGAATCATTATCTCCAAGAGGTGGCTCTATTCTTCCGTCTCATAGCCGCATACCGATTTCTTCGACAGAGAATAATTCGTGGACTCACAATTCAACAAAAGACTCAACTATTTACCTTGAGTTCGAATGTAGCGAAGATATCGAGATTTACTTAGAGGAGCTTTCTCGTTTAAGGAGACTCGGGAGGTGTCATGATGCCAAGCGATATTTCAAGTCTTGCTCTGCCTATTGTGGCGATCATCCAGATCTAATCATTGACTATGTTGATACCCTGATATCGCAAGGCGCATGTAAGGATGTTCTCGAGCTTGTCACAAGTGAGAATCCTCCAATTTTGGCCAAGGATTGTGGTCAAATTTACAATCACTACCTACATTCCGCATTTTGTGTAGCAAAGGCTGTTACTTCAGGGTGGTCAGAAGATGCAGTTCTGCAATGGGGACAGGCAAAATCGGAGCTGATTTCGGAATTGAAGCGAGACTTTAATAACTTGAGTCCAATTCAGGTGAGATTCAATATTGGGTCGCTATCATTCAAAATTATAACTTACTAGTATTAGATTCGATTTCTCTGTCATCTGGTGTATCTAGAAACTCCGCATGTGGGATCAATGAGTTTATCGTATCCAAATCCTATGGTTGGATTAATCTCTGGAACCGAGTGGCGCGAATTGTATTCACATCTCCTATCGACGAATAGAGTTTGGGATCTGCGAGATATCTTTTGTCATCTACTACGCTCATCGACTGTGAAACAAGTGGTAGAGATGCTTTTTGACACGGAGATGAGTCTAGACTTGTCTATCAATACATTCGTGACGCAGTGGATTCAAGAGCAAGATGAATCCACATATCTTGCCATTTTTGACGTATTAGTCACACTGTTGCTTCGGGGAATTCCGGACGAAGGACCCCTTGACAAAGCAGACCAACAATGGATTGATCAATGCATAGTCCATACCCGAAAGATTGCAACCTCAATCAGGGAGAACTTTCCTGCAAGCATTAAGTCTAGCCCTTACTTGCGTTGGATTCTAGCCGAAGTAAGATGGGCCGATGTATCCGGAAAAAGCCAAGAACCATCGCGGTGGTCGTATCTTGACAATTCTCCTGGGCTATTATATTTTGATGGCCGTCTCCCTATTTACGTACCGTTTGCATCAGAGAATCCAGGTTGGAAAATTCCACCTCACTCAGAGCACTCTATTGAGCTGTTGACGCTCGGACTGAACACTGCACGAGACCTTGGTCATTATTCTTTGGAAGTCCTCTACTTGGAAGAGCTCGTGTGTAGATCAAGCGTTCCACAAAATTATCTTACTGATTTAAAAACCCTACAAAAGAATGTAATAGGGAACAACTCCGGTTATCTCAGTGCATGCTTGGCTCAATATCTGTTAGGAGCAGATCAAGATTCACAGAAAGATCTTAGTAGTCAATTATGTGAGATCGATAGACAAGATGATTTTGCAAGTAGAGAAGAGAACCCCATCTTGAAATGGGCCCAGAGACAGATTCAACATGCACTATCTCAATCTCTGGGGGGCTCTCAAGAACAGCAAGATCTTTACTCGTGGATGGAAAGGTCGGCGTATCATCAAATTCCTGAGCATTACCGCGACCGGCTTGGGCGACCTCATCCAGCTTCATATGATCACAACTACTATCGGGGAAGAGACAGAATCGCGAAATACGTCGCAGAAGGCAAATTCTCAATACCATACCATTCTAAGATAGCACAGCCCAGGGCGAGCTCCAACCGACGACGGACAAGCCCGTTACCTCCCAGACGACCTGATTCAGGAGTGAAGGAAAGCACTGGTTCCTCCATTCTACGGTCACATGAGCTCCCTATTAGGAGAGAAATGAGCCAGCCTGCATACATGACTACTCCTCTTAAATGCGCGCAAAACTTCAGCGATAATCGGGGCATTAAGGATCTCTCTGAGCGTTTCCGTGTGAAAACGCCGACAGTTATCGACCGCTCTATATTGAATCATCATGATGATTTAGAGAAGAAGGACCGGGAGTCTTCACTATCTCATGGGCGAAATGAAATTTCTTTGGACCAAGCAAGAGAAATGTCTCCTCCAATACAAGTGGACAACGAGGGTGGAATTCGAAGTGTTGAGTTAGAGAGTAGGAGTGACTCGTCACCTAGAACTGATAAAGGTAAAGGGATCGACAAGCATCATGATGCCCCTTGTGAATCTTCAAAACCACCAGAAGTACAAGAAGACGGTGAGAAAACTTCAACACTTACGATATAGAAATGGCTGCTAACCATTGCAGGCTTAGAGGCAGATCGTACTGGGCGCCCGAATGATCTGTATTTTGAAGACGAAGAAGAAATTAGGAAATTCTATTATATATATGCGGGTAGCTATGACTCAGAAGTAGTGTCTGACTCTGAGTAGTGATTCGATGCTAATTTGGAAGGTTTCAACTTCCGTGAAGACTCGAGTGGTGACTAAGGGGCAGAGATTTGAAATGCTTGCCAAAACAGGGCTAAACACTGGGTAAGATATACCCAAAGTAACCCAAGGTATAACCTAATTAATATTATATTTAATTCTACCTTTATAAAGTAAAGTAATTATTTTATAAATTATTTAGGTATTCAGAGTACTTATAAAGTATATAATATATATTAGGAATGTTTGGGAATATATTTGAGATTTGAGAGATTATAAATATTATAAAACAAGCTTTTTTTTAATTCTTTAGTATTAAAAATAATTATAAGCTTGTTAATACTCTTTATAATTATTTTTCATACCTTTTAGAACCTATGTCTATACTCATATTATATAGTTTTATTAAACACTTAAATGATGAAATAATAATTAAGTAATTAATTATATAATTGTTATCAAAATTAAAATATTAAGGCTGTAAATATATCTACAATATCTAAAAAGAAAATCAAATTAATTTTATTTTATTTTATTTTGAATCCTTTTATTTTGATTTTACTTATATTTAATCAGATTTTTATATATTTATAAAATATTAGAAAGAATTTTTTGAAATATTTACTAATTAATATAAATCTATTAACTTGAAGATTAATATTATTGATAGTATATTCTTGCTAAATGATATAAACTTTATTAAGGGAATAGGGAAGGAAGAGTTGATGGAGGATATTGATTTGAATATTGAATATATGAAATTGCTTGTGTATAAGGATAAAGGCTTGATTCAATCTGTTTGTAAATATATAAATGTTGAATGATTAAAGATTATCTTTCTAAATAGTTTTAAAGGGTGTTAAAAGATTATAAAATCAATTAATATGAGTAGGTTTCATTAAAAAAGAATTAAGATTAGAATTGGGATTCTTTATCATTTAATAGATAATAATTATTACTAAATGCTAATACATTTAATATTATTAGTTTTAGTTTAAATAAGAGTAACAATGTTAAGATAAATATACTTAATACTATATCTTTACATACAGCCTTAAATTGTTTAATACTACCTATTTAGGTAATAGTTTTGATACAATCTTGATAAATATAAAAGAGTGGAATTAAAACAATCTTATTATTAAAATCAATAAGATAAATAGGGGTGTAAGTAAGAATTGGAGTTGGAGTTGGGTAGAAGTGGGAGTGGGAATGGAAATGGAAATGGGAATAATAGTATTATTATTATTATTATTATTATTATTATTATTATTATTATTATTATTATTAATGAAATTATATATAATATATTAATATAAATTATAATAGAAATAATAACTTTTTATTTTATAGTAAGAAAAGCTGGAATAGGAAAAGGAGAGGTAATATTAATAGGAACAATAGTAGTAATAGTATTATTTATAAAATTAATAGTAATAATAATAATAAGTTTTAATACTCGAATTGATATTAATATAATAATAAAAATAATAATAAATAAGAAGTTTTGCTTTAGAATAAGGTTTATAATATAGAAAGTTTTATTTATTATTTTAGAATTAAATAAGATTTTGATAATATATAAATTTGATAGTAAAATGAAAGTGATAATAAATATAAATAATAAATAAAAAGAAAGAAAATAGAAAAAGAAAGAGTAAAATAATATTAATATATAATATAATTGAATTTACTTTTTTTATTTTAATTATATAAAAATTAATTTAAAGGATATTTATATATTATTAAAGATTTAATTTGTTATAATCGAAAGAAAACAAGTTTTATATTATAATAATTTATTAAAAGTAATTTAAAGATATAATATTAATTATTAATATCTTATATTATAAAACAATAATTTTTATTCAAATTATAATATATATTTCAAGTCAAATAAAAAAAAAATAATAATAATAATAATAATATTATTATTATTATTATTATTATTATTATTATTAATATCAACAATCTCAATATCTTTTTTTTCTTCTTTTTAAATAGAACTCCTTATATACACAAATAAAGCATATATCAAATAGTATTACTGAATAAATTAGTTTTATACTTAGAAACTAATAATTCAGTAATATTAAAAATATATTCTAGAAAAGTAAATATAATTAAAATAAATAAATAATCTTTCGAATCTAAAAAAGAATTGAAAGCTATATTAGAACTTTATTTATTATTTAGTTATATTATTAATTATATATTCATTTCGAATAATATAAGAAATTTTTAAATATTGATTTAATTTTGATTCAAAAGTTAATACATAAGTAATTATAAATAATATAAATTAATCAAAATTTATATATAGATTAGTATTGAAATCAAAATTGGTAGTTAAAATAATTAAAATAAAATCATTATTATTATTATTATTGATATGTATATCTTAAGCTTTTTATTTTATAAATATTTGAATTTGATTAATATATGTTTTATACTTTAAGAATATAGATTTAATATATACAATTACTTTTAAATATATTGGCACTTTATTTCCGTTCTTGATTTTATATAAATATTTAATTAAATCGAATTTATAATGAGGATTAAAAACTAAAATTACTTATATATAATATATATTTATATTAAATTCACAATATTTTTTGAATATTTCGAAAGCAGTTTTAGCAATAATTTAAAGAATAGAATAATTATTATTAATTGCTATTTTATATATTTATCAAATTAAAAGGATATAAGTTAATATTATATTTTAAAATATAGAATAGATATTAACTTATACTTTTATAATTAATAAATGAAAGTATATAAAGAATTACTTTAATTCAATCAATATTAGTTAATTATTATTAGTAAAAAACAAGTTCTTTTTAATAGATTTATTTCAAATTTATATAGTTAAAACAGCTGTAATGAATATTTATTAATATAAAACTTCTAAAAGTATATTATTAATTAAATTCTAATAAACTAATATATTAAAAAAAAGGTAACAAAAGTTGATTTTATATATATTACATTATTACTTAAATACATTATAGAATTTTCTTTTATTTTAAAACATTAAAATAATATTAAATATACAGAAATATTATCAGTATACAGATTATAAACTTAATTCAATTGAAATTTGTAAATATATCGAATTTTGAAAGGTTTAGATTTTAATACATTTAAATCTATAAACTTATTAATATTAATTAAAAATACTAATAAAAAAGAATTTACTTATTTGTACAATAATATTATTTATATAACTAGAACATTGAATATCTTTATTAATTCTATTAAAATAAATAGAATATTATATTTTCTTTTTTTCTAAAAGAGTTATATAATTTATAAAAATTATTCTTTTAAAATAATCAAGTATAACATTATTACAATTGATATTATTGTGTATAATCAAGATTATTATTTTAATAATATTAAAATTATTTGTAATATTGAGGAGCTTTTGTATAAGGTATTTGTTAATATAAAAGGAATTAGTGAGTTCAATAATATTAAAAATCGATTATTAAATGCTATTAGTTGGAAGAGTATAATATATAATAATAATAATATAATCTAATTGATTATATCTAAACCATTTATTTATAATTAATGAAAAACATCCTTTATTATTAATATATTTTCAAAATTCTTTTATTTTGATTACTTTTATATTTTCAAAATTCTCTTTCAAATCCTTTATAAATTAATAATATAATATATTTTTAATAATAGATATAATAAACTTAATAAGATTATCAAATTATATTTGATTTATAATATTAAATAAAAGATTGTTTTTAATAATAAATTATAAAAAATAATAATATTATTAATATTGATAATAATATTATTAATATTGATAATAATATTAATATTAATAATAATATTAATATTAATTTATTAATAATTTTGAAAATAAAAAGAATAATTTAAAACCTTCTACAATTTGAATTTAAATTGTTATTTAAGCTTTCTCTTTGTTTTCAAATATTATAATATCTAAATACTTTTTATAATAATGTAATTTGAAGTTATTAATATTATTAATAGCTCTTAATATAATCTTTATATAAAATATAATCTAATTAGATATACTTAATTTATATTTAGTATATTTGCTTTGAATTTTCTAAAATATATTGAAAAAAGAGAAGGTTTGAACCTTTAAATAAAAAGGTTTTTATAATTCTAAAAAGTAATATATTTAATAAATATAAAATTAATTATAAATATTAAAAAATATTATTAATAAATTGTCTAGTATATTTATTATTAATATTGTTTAAAGGAAAAGATATATTTTAATTAATAAATCTAAAGGCAATATTATTAATATTATTATATAGTAAATATAAATTATTTAGTAGATTGTTTTAATCTATTATATTATTATTATTAATATAAAAAGATATAATTGATATAATTATTTGAAGAAAAAGAAACTTACAAAATAATGTATTAGATAGAGTAATGCAAATTTCCAATAATATAATTCAAATAATATAATCTAATATTTTTGATTCTATTATATAATTAAAAATAATCTTCTTTTTAAATGATAATTATAGAATAATTATATAATATTTACTCATAGGTATTCCAAATACCCAGATTATTTAGTAGAGATACACCCTGTAAAAGCTTACAGGGTAGCATATACTACCCCGTAAGGCTAAATACCCCGGGTAGGGTACAAATGCTTAGCCCTAGATGCTATTAGTTAGATAAAAATTTGGCAAAAGTAAACAGTATTTCCTTAATACATTAGTCTTGTCTCAGAATTTGGAAGTTAAGTAACTATTACTATCTGCGAATAAGTATCACTACCTCGTTGGTGTCTGGCATATATTACGGGATCATCTAGATAGGGCCAATGACTGTCTTTCAATCCATTCGACCCAGGGAGTGCGATGACTGGGTAACATTATTCAGAAAATGCTGCCTTAAAAGATCGGAAGTAAAAAATATCCGACAACATACCTTTCTTACATTTCGAAAGAGTTTTTGAACGTTACCGTTTCATTTCAAGT